GCGTAGATCTGGTCCAAGACCAAGTAATCATAGTCACCCGGTCGCTGGAGCTTGGTGTGGCAGTCGTCCGCGGGGTTAAAGCAGCCGGGCTTCGGGTTCGAATTCTTGCAAATATCGACGCACTGCTTGTGCGCAGGCTCGATGAAGCCGCCAAGGTAGTCGATGGCCTTCGCGGACGCCAGCATCGAAGCAATAAAGAACGTCGTCGCCACCATTGCGTCAGTCGTAAAATGAGAAAGCGCGGTCGCCACCGCCACTGCCACCGCCGGGAACACGACCGATGCCAGATGTTTGGGCAGACCGCTCGCAACGCTCCGTTGCTAATACACATCAACCGTGGCCTGCATATCACATTCTCGGCATCGCACCCATGTGTATGTAGGCCGTCTGTTCCCAGCGTGACTACGCAAGCTTTTATCGAGAGCTACCGGGACCACTTCTTGACTTGTCGTCACAATTCTTGGGCTACGGATACGATGGGAAGCTTCCGCGTAGTCTGTGCAGACTTTGGCCTCTCAGGCTTTTTGACCCGGGCTCGCGGAGCTGCTCGCGGCGGTCTCGCATGGGACGTTCTCCCACTCACTGCAACATAAGGTTCGTCAGTCTGTGTATGCGATTGATGCTTGACGCTTGTGACGACCTTGTCCTGGCTCATTCGCTTGCATGACGAGTAGCATAAGCGTGCATAACGCCACGTTACGACCAAACGTCCCACGAGGATTGGCGTCAACGTGTCTTCAAGGCCGTAGGACAAGTTGCGACGACTGGATGTCCGAGTTTGTTACTGCTGTCGTCTTCCTCGGCGACCGATGCGAAATCTCACGGCGCAACGAACGTACCGTTTGTCCTAAGTCTTACGCTGGGCGCGTGCCCGACTAATCAAGCGTTGACGACGGTGCAGTTTATATTGGGAATACCGGTACATTTTATCAACGCGGTACATGCCACCACGAAGGTTATACATTATGTCCTTGATACCAAGTGTATATAAGATATCTCTTATATACCCCTGTTGATACCACAATGCTACTATCGACGCTTTATCATCGACGGCACTTATATCCACGGCAAACGCTTGCACGCACAACACTGTGCAGTACTTACCGATGGCGGAAGTGGCCCTTTCGTATGTCGACGAATTCAACGTTGCGTTTTGGCAGCCCAATACTGCTGCTTTGGAAACCCAGCGCCAACACCAGTCCCTCCCTAGGTATGGGGTACTGCTTCACGTCAACAAGGGACCTGTACCCTTTGCGGTTCAGTCGTAGGCCACGTAAAGGACCTTGGCCAACTCGGTCTGTATCGATGGACTTAGTTTTGAATGGCAGCTTGGCGGGCGTTCCAGTTGGCAACGGAAAAGTGGTCGAGCATCTCTTGCTCCAAAATGTGCACGTCACCTAATTTATCTCGTCAGTGACATTTCGTATCAATGTGTCAAGTCGTACCCGCGATCGCAAGGCAGTGCAACGGGCCACCAAAGTCGACGGTCAAGAGCTCCTGCATGGTGCCAGCCACAATGCACTGCGTCGGCTGCCCAAGACGCGCCATGCCCACGCACATCGTATCGCGCGAGTAGACTACGACCCAGCATAAACCTTGTTCAATCCTCACATGCCAATATGTACCGTTTTCTTGGCGGCGATCTTCAATCTCCAACAGTTGTTCGAGGGCTTCGTTGACCTAGAGCACGGCGTTAGCCGCATAGCTTGCACACATCGACAACCGTCATGAAGCGAGGCGGGAGGTACACGGTGCGGCCGCGCGCCATGGCTTCGAAGTCGGGCTCCTTGACCTTGATGTCTACTCCATCCATGAGTCCAGCACGAGTCATTGTGCGGTACCGAGGAGACAGAGCGTGTGCAAGCCGCCCTTGCGGTTGAAAGCGACCTTGTCGTAGAAGCTGTCGGGGCGCCAGCCTTCGGTGAAGAACGGAATCGAGACGGTTTGGCCATAGTGGTAGAGCTACCGGTCCACTTGAGTATACGAGGCATACCGCAGTCGATCGAACCTGAAGGCCGCAGGCGCCGGCAGCGCCCATGACGGATGCGTTGTGAATGACTTCAACGCGGGCGCCGATTTCTTGCGCACGCAAGATCAAATCCGTGTGGGTCGTCGCGCTATGTGCATTGCGTTGACGACAGCGAGGATCGAAGTCCGTACCAGAACGGATCGCCGACGACGAGGAACGCAATGTTCTTGTCCTTCGCTTGCTCGTAGATGACTTCGGCGCCCGACTCGACGCACTCGCGGTCGGCCAAGATGACTTCACGACCATAGTACTCGGTCTGCACGAGAGCATGAGAATTGTGAGCAGCGCATGTAGGGTGTACCAGGAGCTTGTGGTCGATGCCGAGGATCGACGTGTAGTTCTCAAGGAAGACCTTGTCGCACGTCTTGATCGCGTTGAGGCCGCGCACCGTGATGTCGGTCTCGTCGCCGAGCCCGAGGCCAATGACGTAGAGCACCATTTTGCTGTTGCCTTTTTTTGAAAATGCATCGATGCCATTGGTCGATGCACCGACCACGGTGTTATGCGTCAGAACGAGTGTTATAACGCAGTGGCTGGCCACGGGCTTGAGCATATCGAAGTACACGACATACTTCGACAGAAGCGTAGTTTGCGGCACGCAACTTCGAGGTGGGAATAATCTTGGCGTCGTCGATCCATCACGGACACTTTCATGGACTGCCAAGTTGATGGCGAGTGTTTGCTATGCACTACAAATTGTAGAGCCAAAATACTACTTTCTATCGATAGTTTACGATATATTTCCCAACATTGTACACTAGTGCGCGAAAACAAGACGTGAAACTATAGTAAACTCTTTTTAATACAATTACAATTAATCACACGACAGAAAGACGGTTGTGTTTACGCCGTCGGCGCGCACTGCGGACGCGAGCGGAGGCTTGGCGTCGCGGGCGCCGACGTCAAATAGTCGACGATGTTTTGGAACACACCTGCAATCGTCGACGGTGTCTCAACTTCGGTGCCCACGGC